ATTAAGCACTCCCCTGTGAGCTGGCTTCATAGCCTAGTGGTTAAAGGGGCTGGATCATATATGGCTGACCACAGTTTGAATACTGGACCCAATGGCTTGAGCATATGCAAGCATGCACATGACCCAGTATTGGGGGGATGCTATCTCCTGCTCTCTCTGTGTGAAGACACGCCCTCTGGCAATTAAAAAAAGGGAGGGCAGTCAATGGTAGGGTGGTTAAGGTAGCTGAATCTTACATGGCCAACTGTGTGGTTCAAGTCCTAGACCTGGTGGCTTGAAGAACAAAATGCGTGCATGCGTGTATGCATGCATGCCGTGTGTACTAAAAATCACAAGAGGTAAACAGAGGATAAGAGATTGAAAAGTGGCCATCCCCCTTAGAGGGTGCTTTATTACTTTCCCTCTTTCTCTGTCTCTCCAACAAGGGAACATATCCTATAGAAATTTAGAACCCAAAACACCACTACATAGAATATTTTCACTGCAACAATTTGTATTTAGAAATAAGGGGCCAGTCAATAGTGGTTGTTAAGGTAGCTGGGTCCTACATGGTCAATTGCACAGTTTCAGTCTCGGACCTGGCAGCATGAAAAACATACTAGGGAAACATGCATAATGTTCACATGGCTAAACACCCCTATAGTTGACTGTGGTTTGAGCCCTGAAACCAGTGGCTTAAAACTCACACCGGGCTTGTGTGCACGCATGGCCAAAATCCTGAAGGAGAATGAGAGAGAAGGTATTGCGATGTGGCCATCCCCCTTACAGGGGAGATTTCTCGCTTTCCGTCTCTCCATCTTTCTCTGTGTCTTTGACAAGCCCATAAACCCCATGGCAAAAATCTCTCTTAAAACAAAAAGAAAGAGAAAAACACACTAGGTGTGTGTGTATGTGCCCCAAATCCCAAGATGACAATGGAGAACAAGGAATTGTGTCATGGCCATCACTCATCCCCCTCCATCCCCATACCACATATTTATGTCTCTCTGGTGAGCACACATAACCTACAGCAAATTTTTTAAAAAAAGAAAGAAGAAATGAGAATACAGAATGGAACCATTCTGAATCATCACATCTAATACATTTCTGAGAAAGGGGTGACAAGCAGTTAAAATAAAGAGTTTTTTCTACTATAAATTATTTGAAGTCTGATTCTATTTACACTTTTTCTTAATTCCTGCAATGCTTGATGTTGTGTTCTAACAAAGCAACCATACAGTTAGTGCTAAGTAGCTTTACTGAATAATACAGAGTTCTCTTCAAAGGAAAAAGTTCCACAAGTACGAATTATACCTTTAGCCTGTGAAAGCGAACAATATCTCCAACTTTATAAATTGTGGGGAGGGCTTCATAGATTCCACTGAAGAGCAGGCAAGTTAACTTTACATTTGTCTGGTCCACAATTGTTACAACTGAGCAATAATCTAGAAAACACAAAAATATTTAAACTGACTTTTAGTATCATGAAGCATTTGATAAAGCAATGCCTAGTTCAAAATGCAAAACGAACTTTATTCTTCTCTTTAATTAAGTATTCCAAAAAGAGGCTCAAAACATAGAAATATTCTTCCTGGTTCTCAAGGGGCATCAACAAATGATTTAAACTATTCCCCCAAAATTAATTTTAAAGGTCCAGTTATGGTGGCACATGTGGTTCAGTGCTGCTGTACTAGGCTGGGGCTGCATTGGTAGCCTGGGTTTGAACCTGGAGCAACTTAAACAGGCTGGGTGTGGTTGTGTCCTGTGATCCTGGCTTAGCTAGAAGGCCAGGCAGAGGATTGCAATGGTGAGACACTGTCAAAAATGTCTCTCTCTACCTTCTTCCTCCATGCTTACTCATGCACTTTCTCTCTCTCTCTGATAAAATAATTTTAGAAACTTAGGTAAAACAAAAAAAACAAAAATTTTTAAAAATTAAATTGTCTAGAGAGTATTAACATTTATAACTTCAAAGTTTTGAAATTATGAAGCAGGTACATATATGCACATAAACTTCATTTATAAAATAAACATAAATTTAGAGTAAGACTAAAAGACTCGATGATATTCACATCAAATGTGACAAAGCGTCATAGCCATACTGCATAAAGATCTTATGAAAGTTCTTTTTTTTTTTTGGAGAGGTTTTGACTATAGAGCGCATGTGCTCGCCAGACAGAGAGAGAAAGAGAGACAGAAAACGAGAAATCACCCCCCAGGGGGGATGACCAAGCCACAATCCTTACTCCTCCATTCTCCTCTCGGGATCTTAGGCACGCATGCACACGTGCCCGGCATGAGTTTAAGCCACCGGGTCCGGGACTCGAACCACAGTCGACTACGTGGGAGTCGAGTGACATAGCCATTACGCTAACTGCTGGTCCCAAGATCTTATGAAAGTTATTTTAAAAACTAGGAATTCACAGTAGATGTATAACACAAAGTAAACCATTTGCAGAATTGTTATATACTAACAAAAAGCTATATAATAACAAAAAACTGAATAGGAAAAATGGTGAATCTTGCTATTCACCCATAAAAGATTATCGAGGTATTTTAATATAAATTTAATCCGGTAAAAATATTTAATAATATTTGGGTTGCCATGAAAATAGTTAAATTCGAAGATTGGTGGTAGTAAAAAGTGTAATAGCCACTATTTTTTGATATGCATATTTCAGAAAACTGCACACTGAGAAAATGCACTGACTGCCCGTTCTTCCCACTACCCCAGCAATAAGGGGATAGAGACAGGAAAGAACAGCTGAGGAAAGGAGGGTAAGAAAGATCCCAAACATATTTCAGAAAAATAGGAAAGTTCATTGCTAGGGTTTTGGATTCCTCTTTTGCAACCGACTCTTAAGAAGCTACTACAACCTGCTAATTTTTGGTGTAGTATAAAATATACATAAAATTTGAAAGACTAAGAAAATAATCTCATTTCCAGTGTCGTGTCTATGTGGTGAAATGATAAAAAGCTGTTTAACTAGTTTGCACTCTGGTAATACTTCCCAAAGCTAGGTATAAATCTGAAAAGATAACAAATGATAAATTAAGCCTTTTATTCTGCAATCCAGAACAATTCACCTAATTGCCTCAGTTTGATTGAATGTAAATTGCCTTGGAGTTTTATTATAAAGGGAGGCTGGTAGTTCATCTAAGCAAGATCTTTAATCAAACAAACATGCAAGTATACATTATATAATCCACAAAAAATTCCTCCATGAAAGGTGTTTCATTTCCTTTTTTATCTAGTACAACACTGTTGTTTTTACATCAATCAGTATTTCAGCAACACCCCAATTTGTGTAAAAGTGCACTGTTAAACATTCAAGTAAAAGCTATACAAACAAAACACCTTATCAAAACAACACTGTGTGTTACAATCTTATTTCTTTTAAAAGGAAATTTACCATAAATACACAATTAAGAGTACTCCTTTTACCATCCTGGTGTGAGGCTACATAATTTCCCCTCATGTTTCTATTATATTACAAAAGAGCACAAGCACAGAAGATAGGAGAAAAAAGTATAAATATTACGTTGTAACAAATACTGTGATATTTAAAGTGACACAGATTAGACAGATGATAAATACTGCATGAGTTAATTAATGTTATTCTGGAGCAGTTTCGCTTTATGTTACATATTGAGCAACCACAGGTCATGGATACAGTATACCTAGGTGTAATATACTAAGATTAATGATGGTCTTATTTTTAAAGATTTTGTACTTAAAAAAAATGAGAAGGGCCAACAGATGGTTTGGTTTAGTTGGTAAGAAGTTGGACTCTCACATGAGAAACTGCAGTTCGAGTCCCAGACCTGACGGTTTGAAAATCATGCCAGATACACGTGCATGTATGGCCCAAATCCTGAGAGAAGACTGGAGGAGAAGGGATTGTGGTGTGGTCATTCCCATTAGGGGTGATGTTTCACTTCCCCTCTCTCTTTTTCTCTGGTAAGCATATGTGCCCTATGGTAAAAACCTTAGGAAAAAAAAAATTAAAAGAGAGGGAGAGAAAATTACACAAATACTAGAAAAGCAAAATTATTCAGCAATAAAAAGGGAAGACTATTGACACTACATGAATGAACCTGAAAATCATTACACAAAGTGAAAGCCAGAAGCATAAGATTATGTATGCATGAATCTACATGAAGTGTCTAGAATCTAGACAGACAAACCCAATGGTTGCCAACAGCTGCGCAGGAGATAAGAACTGACTGCAAACAGAATGAAGATCTTCGGTGTGATGCTGCGTGTTCATCCCTTCCCCAACCATAAAAATAAGATGCTCTAGTCTTGGTTACATCAGTTCGCATGAGTCCACCCAAATGTCACTACCTGAAGCTTTGTTAATGTCTCTTGACAACTATCACCTTCCCTTTAATTCTGTTTGACATTAAAAACTGTACTATTTTTAAACTGTCATTGTGATAATAAATTGGGAGAAAACAAACAAATGCACATGCTCTACCTTCAGCATCCAACTTAAATTTAGGAAAACCATAACCATGATAGGATCAGAGGTCAGCAAACTCTTGTCTGTGGTCCAGCCGCTTGTTGTAATCATTTCTTTTTTGAGAAGGTTATGTTACAATCCCTTCTCCTCCATTTTCTTCTCAGGTTTCTGGGCAGGCATGCACATGCCTCGCATGATTTTTAGGCCACCAGTTCTGGTGGTTGGTGTTAGCCTTGTGGGAATCCAGCACCTTAACCACTGTATAACCTACTGTCCCCTAAAAGTTAAGCTTTACTGCAACATATTCATGTACATAGTGTCTATGGCTGGTTTCCTGTATATAGTACAAATGAGTAGCTATGACACAGACTGCATTTCCTTCAGAGTCTAAAATATTTACTGTACTGTTCACTAAGAAAAAAATTGACCCCTGAACTACACTGATGATAAATATACAAAAATAATACCAGAAATAAAGACAGCATGATAGATATTCACATAATTACAAACATCTGAAATAGGTAAACATGTTAAACTTCATACAAAATATTTCAAGAACTTATTTCATTTTGAAAGTAATGGTACTAATAGGCAAACCATCCACCAGCAAACACAGCAATATTTACATGATCAATTTATGAAATGTTTAGAATAACTTAGTACAGGAGACAAAAGTCCCTATGACTTAAGATACTCATATTCAAAGCACTTTAATTAGTTCTAATTAAGAAAAATAGTTTAAGAGACAAAAACATTCAAAAGGGACTATTACTTTGATTCCTAGATTTATGTCTGAGGTAAATGAAAACATGTCCACATAAAAGTACCCAAATGTTCAGTCGCTTTATTTGTAATAGCCAAAAGGTGTAAACAACTCAAATGCCCCTTAAGTGGTGGCTAGCTAAATAAATACCATCTACACATACAACGGATATTAGTCAGTAATCAAAAGAAATGAGGTATTGATATGGGCCACACGAACCTTAAAAACATTATGCTAAGTAGACAAACCAGTCACAAAGTACCAAACAGTGCATGATTGTATTTACATGACAGGTCCAGAATATGCAAATATGTGGAGACAAAAAGATCAGTGGTTGCTTAGGTCTAGAAAGAACAGGAGATATTATAGAGGTTGAGGGCTATTAAGTACATGATTGCTTCTTCTTTTTTTTTTTGAGATGTTTTTGCTATAGGGTACATGCGCTTCCCAGAAAGACAGAGAGAGACAGAGAGATAGAAAGCGAGAAATCACCCCCCCAGGGGGATGGCCATGCCGCAATCCCTTCTCCTCCATTCTCCTCTCGGGATCTTGGACACACATGCACACACACCCGGTGTGAGTTTTAAGCCACCAGGTCCAGGATTCAAACCACACTAGACTACATGGGAGTTCAGCAACATAGCCACTACGCTAACCGCTGATCCCCAGGATTGCTTCTTAAGGATGAAAATATTCTAAAGTTGAGAGCAGAATTGGATCTACAACTCCACGAACATACAAAAAGCTACTGAACTTCATACTTTATTTATTTATTTTATTTATTTGAGAGACTTCTGCTATAGGGCACGTGCACTTGCCAGAGAGAAAGAGAGAAATCACCCCCCTGGGGCAGGGAGAGGATGGCCATGCCACAAACCCCTCTCCTTCATTCTCCTCTAGGGATTTTGGGCATGTACATGCACCAAGTGTGTGTTTTAAGCCACCAGGTCCGGGACTCAAACTGTGGTCAACTACATGGAGTCCAGTGATGTAACCATTATGCCATCTGCTCGTCTTTGAACTGTATACTTTTATTTTTTTAATTAAAAAAAATTTTTTTTAGGAATTATTTTATTCAACTTTCTTTCTTTATTTAAATTTGACTAGAGAGAAAGAGAAAGGGAAAGTGAAATAGCAAGCCGCTGGTTCAGGACTCAAACTGTAGTCAGTCCAGCGCCCTTAACTACATGCCAACTACCAGCCCCTTGAACTGTGTACTTTAAATGGATAATTCATATGGTACATGAATTATGTATCAATCAAGTTAGAAAAAAAAAGAATTACCAACATTTAGGTAAATAGTTGCTTTAAGACACTAAATGTACATACTGTTTAAGTGCCACGTAATAACTTATCTTTCTTGTTTATGTTTTCTTTCAGTTTATACTTACTACTACAATTATTCTAACCTAATCATAAAATTAGAATTAAAATGGCTACCAATTAGATTATAACCCTAACCATGGTTTCCAACGAAGCCATCTAATACTTGTTTTGCTGATTCCAAGACTCATAACACTTTGCTTGAAGGAGTCAAGTTTCACCTTCACACTGATGATCAACAGAGAGGAATGCCATGGAGAAGTGGCATTCCTATGTGGTGTGTGATTGGTTGAAAAGCCTTTTGAAACAGGGGCATGCATAACCCCTCTTACTTATCAGTGAGTTTCTTAATCCACTGGATGTCAATTTTCTGCATCTATAAAATCGAGATGACACTACCTCACACTTGAGGCTTTTTGGTATCACACAGGAAACATATAATAGAACTTAGTAAGTAATAGCTGTACTACTACTAGTGAACAATCCCCATGAAGAAACACAGGGAATACGAAAGGCTAATCTCTGTGGTTTACAAACAATTTTGGTATAATATTTTTAAATACCTTTTTATTCTTAACCTTGTATCTTAAAATATCACTAGCTGGAAATATTTTTAAGTGTAAGCAAAACTGACCCCTTAGTGAGGAAATAAAATTTTTATCTTGACTTTGGAGTCTTTTATGATTAAAAAGCGCTATGAGATTTAATCACTCAAAGAGCAAATCCATGGTAGAAAAACAAATTCTTATTAACATATTCAGCATAATTTCATTATCCTTTCATTGGACTTAACGTTTCTTTTCCCTTTTTTTTCGGAGAGGTTTTTGCTACAGGGCGCATGTGCTCGCCAGAGACAAGAGAGAGACAGAGAGATAGAAAGTGAGAAATTACCCCCCCGGGGGGGATGGCCACACCACAATCCCTTCTCCTCCATTCTCCTCTCGGGATCTTGGGCACGCACGCACACGCGCCCGGAGTGAGTTTAAGCCACCAGGTCCAGGACTTGAACCACAGTTGACTACATGGGAGTTCAGCTACATAGCATTACACTATCTGCTGGTCCCTAGACTTAACATTTCTATGCATTCAATGCTTTAAAAAACATTTCACAGTAATTTCATAAACTACACAATATCCTTATAAGGTAGGCAAATCTAACCAGTCACTAATTCCACTAATTTTACTTCCATATCTTATTTTACTAATATCTTTTTATTCCTTTTCAATGTCACAGCCTAAGATCAGGTTCATTTTCTTTCATAACTGGGCCACTGTAATAACTTTATTTTTGTTTTTTGTGGGTTTTTTTTAGAGAGGTTTTCACTATAGGGCACATGTGCTCGCCAGACAGACAGAGACAGACATAGCGACAGAAAGCGAGAAATCACCCCCCAGGGGGGACGGTCACGCCGCAATCCCTTCTCCTCCATTCTCCTCTCGGGATCTTGGGCCCGCACGCACACGCGCCCGGCGTGAGATTTAAGCCACCGGGTCCGAGACGCGAACCGCGGTCGACTACGGGGGAGTCCAGCGACATAGCCATTACGCTCACTGCTGGTTCCCTCTACTTTTGTTTTTTGAGAGAGATTTTACTATAGGGGCCATGCACTTGCCAGAGAGAGATAGACAGAGAGGGAGAAATCATCACACAGCAGTCTCTTTTCCTCCATTCTCCTCTCGGGATCTTGGGCCCGCACGCACACGCGCCCGGCGTGAGATTTAAGCCACCGGGTCCGAGACGCGAACCGCGGTCGACTACGGGGGAGTCCAGCGACATAGCCATTACGCTCACTGCTGGTTCCCTCTACTTTTGTTTTTTGAGAGAGATTTTACTATAGGGTACATGCACTTGCCAGAGAGAGATAGACAGAAAGTGAGAAATCATCACACAGCAGTCTCTTTTCCTCCATTCTCCTCTCAGGATTTTGGAATGCACACACATGTACCAGGCGTGAGTTTTAAGCTTCCGGGTCTGGGACTCAAACCGTGGTCAACTATGTGGAAGTCCAGAGACATAACTATTATGCCATATGCTCGTCCCTATAATAATATCTTTTTTTTTGGAGAGGTTTTTGCTATAGGGTGCATGCTCTGGCCAGAAAGAAAGAGACAGACAGAAAGCGAGAAATTGCCCCCCTGGGGGGATGGCCATGCTTCAATCCCTTCTTCTCCTTTCTCCTCTCGGGATCTTGGGCATGCACACACATGCGCCTGGCTTGAATTTTAAGCCACCAGGTCCGGGACTCGAACTGTGGTCGACTAAATGGGAGTCCAGTGACATAGCCATTATGCTAACTGCTAGTCCTCCTACAATAATATCCTAATAGTAGCTTATTTCTAGCTTTTCCTTCCTATAATAAAATTATGGCACTATGATGTTTTTTTTCTTCAGTCCTGTCACTTTTCTCCTAAAAGTTCTTAATGTTTTCTAGTACATACAGAATAAAATATAAAATATTTAGCCAGAAATGAGACAACATGATCAGGTACTAAATCTATACTTCTAATTATATTCTTCAATATTATTTTCCTAGCACCTTCTATTTCAAGCTGAAGTTAAGATTGCAGTATGAATGCTGATGGGCCATGTACAATACAAGCTTTCCTCACACCATACGTTACCTGAATCTCTTATTCATTTTTTCTAGTCAAATCCTACCTCTAGTACCTGTGTGACCTTTTAAGCAAATTACATTCTCTGACTCAGATTTTTCACCTGTAAAATGGAACAAAGAAAAGAACCTGGACACACACAGAGAATTTGTGGGAATTAAATGAGATCATACACAAAAAAATGCTCTTCTTATACCTCTTTCCTGGAAAGTAGAAGTTAAAATCATACTGACACATTTTAAGTTCAGATAGATTTATTTTTGTAAAAACAATGTATTGCAAATTAAGATAACTTGGTAAGGGGAAATGTGACCCAACTAGAATAATGTTCTGATGTTACTAAATGTGTTTCCCTGAGGAGGATGGGCTGATGAGCCCTGAAACACAAACTAACCAACAGTCAGTACCTTGAGAAGAAAGATGCAGGATAAAGCCAAAAAGATTGAGACCTCAAGGGCATAAGGCAGAAGGGCCTCAAAATTGGAGGAAAGAATAGAGAGAAAAAGAGAGAGAGAGAGAGAGAGAGAGAGGTGAACAGTAAAAATCGAAGACATGGAGCCTATGATGGAACAGTAGTGACTCTGAGGATTCCCGAAGCACCCCATGCCTACAACCCAGATGGCTGGGTTGGAGAGGATCACGGCATGAAGACCCTGTTGGGGGTTCTTTCCTACCTTTCACAAACTATAAATATTTTATTTATTTTATAAATGAAAATGGCCAAAAATATTGCATCAGTGTAGTTTAGAAATTATAAATCAAAATTGAGTTTCCATTCTGTGACTTGGGGTACTGAAAGAGCTGTGTTTATGAAACCAGTAATGCAGTTCTACTCCATAAATCCACCACCAATTTTAATACCTACCAGTTCCTTTGCTAAGATAAGGGGGCTTAAAGAACTTCACAACACCATAGACATTGACAACTGTTCCACTCTTAAGTTGATTCAGAGGTGTATACATATAATTTGTTGCTGGCACCTAAAGAAAAACAAGGAAAATAGTAATATTAAGTAATTATATTTTGAATCATATAATCACATTTGTAAACTAGCAAATCCATACAACTGTATTTGTTCCTAATAAGTGTGTAAAACAGGCTGTAATCTGAAAAAAAAATGCACAATTTATAAAAGTTATATAGACCAACTCATTTTCCTTAGAAATAACTTTGAAACAAATGGCATAATTTGCATACCAGCCCATAAAAGCAAAATTAACCCATAATCTAATTGAAACACTATACTTTTTCAATAAAAAGTAAAAAACAGTACATTAAAATACCAGCAATTAATGTAAAAACTAAAACAATAAAAGAAAATAAATACTTTTTTTAATGTATATTTTCGATGTTAGAGAGCTAAAAAGAGTTTTTCTTAAGGGAAATAACTAGGTATATTTAATGAGATATTTCTAGAAGCCCTGAAAAAACAATTAGAATATTAGTCCTATCAACAAAGAATTCTCTATCTTTTAAGTTTAGGCAAGTTTTTCTGGCTAGGACACTTCCAAGGGTACGAAAGCCTGTAAGGGTACCTTTAGTAATTAAATCGTTCTAGCTATCTTTAGCTTGGTAGCTCTCCAACTAATTCAGTCAAGAAATCATATCTGAGGGACAAAAAAACCCAAAAAACAAAAAACAAAAAAAGAACCACTTCACACTATTAACAGAACAAATTCTAAAAAATGCAGTATAAGAGATTTTGGTTCTGGTTTTTAATCTTAATATCACTTTCAAAGTTATGGTATAATTTCTCTTTTTTCCCCCTACAGTGTTATAAAGATTTTATACAGATCCAACTAAAGCTAGGCTTTGACTCGTAAACAGTACAAAGAGAATAAAAATGGTAACAACAGAAAGATTATTTTCTGAAATAACTGTGTGTGTAAGTTTGGAAAAAAAGAAAGTGGAATTATACATTAACATTTTCAAGAAAACAAAAACCCTATCATGAGCATCTCAGAAATAGGAAAATAAAAAAATAAATCTGTGCCTCATGTACTTGATTTAAAACACCTAGGGTTTGCCAAAAAGCATTTTGCCAAGTTTGGAGGGTTTTTTTCCCTTTTCATTTATTTTTGCCTTATTGATCTGTACACAGATGTATCAAATATCTGAAGTTGACCAATCTATAATGATTTTGGCTAATACAATACTGGTGCTAATTCACAGTTCTTAAGCATTATCAGTCTTTACTGGCTAGTTTTCCACAAAACCAAATTTTAATGATTCTACTACTGAGATTTTAAAATCTGTGCCCGGTAGTCATTGTGAACTATAAATAAAGTCTCTGTACTTTGTCTCTTAGAATGTAAAGGTTTACAAAGATAGTAGGTCATAAACATATTAAACATTATCAATATGTTATCTTCTTTCCAGTTTCACTCAGCTACAAGCAGCCCACCTATTGCTGAGATAACACAATTTTATAAACAGTGAAAAAAATGGTTACAAAAAAAGGCAAAGCAAAGCAAAATGTATCATAGGTATAAAAACCTCCTTTATACAATCTGTTAAATCATAATTCAGCATGTAATAATCTGTTTATATGCAAGTTGGTAAAAAACTAAATAAGTTAATTTGCCTACAGTTTAAGAAAAATCTGTACTTTCGTATAATAAAAACTTTTAAATTATCCTATGTATGTATTTTACACAAAATATCTGCAGATATTCAAAAGTACAGAATAATATATATATATATATATATATATACACACATATACACACACACACTTAAATATGTAACACACATGTAACATTAGCAGATATTAAAAAAGGGAAAAGTATGTTTTCCCACTGTGTTGATACTATTTCAAAATCAAACTATGAACTGGATCAAATAAAAAGAAAAGATTTAGGTATCTGTATCTATGTATGTGTGCATGTGTACATGCGGGCATGAATGGAGCCAGCAGGTGGCATAAGTGGTTAAGGTGCTGGACACCCACATGCTCACCTCCAGCAGACTAGACAATGGGCGACCATGTGGGTGTCCAGCACCTTAACCACTTTATGCATTCTTGATCCTCAAGCTGGGCACGTGTCAATGCATGCCCCAAATCCTGAGAGAACAGAATGGAGAAGAATTTGTGGCACGGCCTTCCCCCAGGCAGGTGATTTCTCACTTTCTGTCTCTTTGTCTCTCCAGTGAGCACATGCACCTATAGCAAAAAAACAAAACAAAACAAAAAAAGCTTACCAAAGACATTGATTCTGGAGAAGGTCTGTCACAGAATTAGCATAAACCTGAAAAATAAAAAAAAGACCAAGAGCATATTTTTATGCAAATTATCTCCAGAGAAAATACTTCAATTTTAGTGAAATGACACAAAACTGTACAATATTTAAATTCATGGCGATGGCATAGGAGTTTGGGCTTACAAATTAAAAAGTGACAGGTGCCAAATTGTCTAAGCTATAACAACTAAAAAAAATTAAAGATGTCAGACAAAAATGTACTTAAAAAAGTATTCCTACAGGCTAAATTTGAAGTATGTCAAAATTTCATTCTCAGAGAAGAAAATAAAAGAGAATAAACTTCTATCAGCCCCATAGTAGGGAAAAGCCGAAGTTGACACTCAAAGCTTTTCCTGCATAGAATCTTGGAGTTTTTCAGAAAGAAAAAGATAACTAAGTCAATAATGAACACTCTACCATAAATTTCACCAATTTTAGCCTAATTAATTTTAATATCAAACAGGCACCCCTAGTCTTCATAGTGCCTTTGTGCATTCTTGAAAAACTGGACAGGGCCCAGCTGTGACATGACGGTTAGGGCAGCTGGATCCCACATGGCTGAGCCTGTGGTCCAAGTCCTAGATCCAGCAGCTTGAGAAATGTACTGGATCCACGAGTGTGAGTAGCCAAAATATTTGAAAGGAGGGAGAGATGGAGAAAAAGGGACCGTGGCATACCTATGCCTCACAGGGGGTACTTTCTTGCTTTTCCTTTCTCATCTCTGTCTCTCTCCAGCAAATACCCACGCCTTCTGGCAAATTAAAAAAATAATAATAATAAAGGTGAAAGAGTGGAAAAAAATCAAATAGATGTTGGCTTGTAAGCACATGGCTTAACCAAATAATAAGCTGGACAAAAAGGTAATTTTCAAGTAAGTATGTTTGGGGAGGTACATGAAAAAGGAAGATGATCATCTCGATAAGGAATAAAATATCAACTTTACAAAAAAGAGGTACAATTGATTAATTTAGAGTGAAATTCAACTAGACCATCTAAAGTAACTGATGGTCTAATTACAAAGAACAGAGCATCAAAACAGCTTCCTAAGTTTCACGAGTAAGTATCGACAAGATCTTTCTTTTTTTTTTTTTTGGAGAGATTTTCACTGTAGGGCGCGTGTGCTCGCCAGACAGACAGAGACATAGAGACAGAAAGCGAGAAATCACCCCCCAGGGGGGATGGCCACGCCGCAATCCCTTCTCCTCCATTCTCCTCTCGGGATCTTGGGCACGCACGCACACGCGCCCGGCATGAGTTTTAAGCCACCGGGTCCGGGACACGAACCGCGGTCGACTACGTGGGAGTCCAGCAACATAGCCATTATGCTAACTGCTGGTTCCCTTTCTTTTGTATTTGGAGCCATACAAAATATAAAGTTGAGAAAACAATTTCCATTTTTAGGCTTGAAATATTCGACTAAAATAATTCATTAAGACTCAGCAGTTTATCTGCAGACTTACATAATTACTATTTTTTAGTCTATCACGTTAGCTCACTAAAACCATAATATGATTAGATTGAAAGCAGCACACTTACATAAATAGTTGAAGTCTTTGAATGCTTTAAAAAAATAGGCAGTGTTTACCAATTCTGCTTGTAGATGAAGATGTTCACAAAACAGTAAATCCAGCAACTGTAACAGTGTCCCGCACAGGAAAAAAAAAAAAAATTAATTAATCATCAAAATATCTGTAATTCTGACTGTTGTATAAGTATTTACATTATTATTTAAAAAAAAAAAAAACGAAGTTATTCTAATAGTTGGAATGCTGGCTCACCTAAGCTTGTTTAATGCTTACTAAATAAATGATTTAACACCTCTAAATGGATCTTCAAAATCTACAGCCACAATGTAGCCTAAGATAAGTATAATGACCTACTCGTGGGCTAAGGAAACAATAAATCACTTAGAAGATTTTATTTATTTAGTAGGACATCAAAAAAAATCAATGTTTATCTCATTTTACATAAATAAGTTATACGATAAAACACAGTGAGGAGATAAAAGATGATCTAGCAGTATTAAAGCACAATTTAAATAAAACTAAATCTCCGAGTTGAGAGACCATACCCAGAAAGGCATGTCATTAGTGCAAAAGTTGCAAGTTACTACCAGACTAATAGATGTACATATAAAGCCAAAGCATGAGACATAAATAAGAAATTTCCACTAATCTGCTAGGAAGAATGGAGATACTTTCTTTTTAGATTTTTAACAATAAGAAGCTATTTTCCACTTATTCCTGCCTCTCATGCTTTAGTTAAGTTTCCTTTTTTCTTTTATTTTCCAAATCCTAGAACATAAATACTCAAGAGTTCTGTCTTTCTACATTACATATTCCTCATTATCTTACTCCTCTAATTTTAACATCAAAATCTTTACATACATAAAATTCTCTGGCTTTTACTTCATGTTCCTTCAATAATCTTAATTTCTATGCCGTGGGAGTATTCTGCATTACTGTTTTCTGTTTTCCACATATAAAGATCTGGTTATTCTCCAGAATTTCTGATTCAGATTCATTAACTAAGCTGTTAATGTCTTGAAAAAAGTATCTTACTCTAGTTTGTATTTATAGAACTTGGAACAAAGCAGGACCTCCATAAACAGTGAGTCAAATGAAGGATTATATGCTGCCTTTTCTAAATCACTAGCCCTAACCAGGTATCTAAACTCTACAAATTCTTATCTATTTTTTCTTCACCTGAGATTGCAAACCTGTGTGCACTGATAATGACAAACAGTCACAACTCTTCATAGTTAAACGAGAGAAAACTTTCCTTCTCAAGAGTTTACTTATCTCTTCCATGCTTGAGGCAGTCAAAAGACTAAGTGTTTCTGGATATATCACTTTTACAAACTGAAAATCACACTTTGCAACTGACCTCAGACAAACACATTCTGATTTAAATGAAAACTTAACATTTTAGTCAAATACTTTTAAGTTGTTTAAGGAAGATCAACAGATGCGAGGTGACACCGATTTATTTTTTTTTGGAGCGATTTTCACTCGCCAGACAGAGAGACAGAAAGCAAGAAATCACCCCCCAGGGGGGATGGTCACACCACAATCCCTTCTCCTCCATTCTCCTCTCGGGATCTTGGGCACGCACGCACACATGCCCGGCATGAGTTTTAAGCCACCGGGTCTGGGACGCGAACCGCGGTCGACTACGTGGGAGTCCAACGACATAGCCATTACGCCAACTGCTGGTTCCCTTTTCTTTTAACTTTCTTTTTTTTTTGACACTAATTTATCATCTCAAAATTATCTTACCCAGTACAAACAATAGCGTACGTCATATATTCTCTGTTCTACCTAAAAATGTTTTCAAACTTACACATTCTTGGAGAGAAATAAACCAAATGCAAACATTGGGATACAGACGAAAAGTTTCCTTTCCACTTTTCTGTACAATCCAAAAGTTTTTTAGAAGAATAGTATACAATTCTTTTATGATAAAGAAATAAACTTGAAAGAGTAAATGGCTAAAAGTCGAATATAAGCATTCATGAGAAAATATCAGCTACATATAATTCATTAAAAAGCTATATCTCTTATGGTAACACACATTCAAGAGCATGAAAATAACAAAATGCATTTAGATATGTGTGTATGTGTGTAGATTTTTAGACATGATCTTGCTACACTGCGATTTTCCTGCCAGGGACTTTCAAGTAGCTGGGACTACAGAACATACTATCACACCCAGCTTTAAGAGGGTGGCTAGGAATCGGGTGGCCTGGGACTCTCATGTTGCCTTAGCCTATCAAGTAGCAGCACCTAAACTGTAATAATACAGGTGGCCCAATACATACTTTTCAAAAGAAAACAATCTATAAACACACATTCGCATAAGAATGTACACAAATTGCACTGAAGGCTCTCGATCATCTCACCCCACCTGACCCTGCCTATTTTATGTCCATACACTTCCATGTGACACTAGCAAAAGTAGATACTTACACACCTAGTACTTTCCCCACATATATTCTTTTCTAAGCCCCAACCAATAATAACATTTTTCCCATTTGCACCTCTCTGACCTTATCTTTATTTCAAAGTCTGGCCTATAAATGTTTCTTCCTAGTAAGGTCTACTTTAGATTATCCGTCTTCCAGAAAAACAAGTTTTCCTTTCTCCGAACTCTCCTATACACCATTTTGATATTTTTACTTGGTGTGATATTTATGAACTTTTCTTAATGTTTTTAATGTCCCGTAAAACCCTATAAGCTTCTTATAACTAAAAATAATGTCTTATCCATGTGTATATCCCATGAGTGACTGCCAGAGGCTTCTATTCATAGCTGACAAATATCTGTTGAGTGAATTAATTAACACCAGTAAAAATTAAAGTACACATGTAAACAAAAGAAGGAAAAAAATAAGTGGCTCTTAGGATCCAGTTCCTATAAATTTACAAATCATAATGGCTTTTAAATTAATTCAAACATGCAGAGGATAAGAAAGATAAATATATAATAATGCAATATTAGTTTGTATAAACACTCATTAGATTGAATTGAAAATTAGATTTAATATGTGGTGCTCTAAGTTCTAAACTTCTGAGAAGATCATACTGAAGCCATTTGAATAAGAGTGAATAGTTTACTCCACGTAATATATCCTGATATATCAGAGTAGGTATTTATCTTAACCTGCTGAATACAGTATTAGGAGACCAACCTGAGATGAATACTATGCTACTAAAGCATTATCAGTATTATAAGTGAAATCTATGAATAAACTAGAAATACTCAGATATTAGCAAATGGGTTTTACTTTTGTGCCTGGATTATCCTGTCAGGTACTTTGTAAAGAGTGTGTCCTTGTCAATAAGTAATTCTGTTTAGTTTAGCTAAGAGAAACTTATTGCAATCTACTCTCAGAGAAAAAGAATGAAATCTATAGGGACCAGCAGTTAGTGTCGTTGGACTCCCATGTTGTTGACCGCAGTTTGCGTCCTGGACCCGGTGGCTTAAAACTCACGCCGGGCATGTGTGCATGCTTGCCCAAGATCCCGAGGAGAATGGAAGAGAAGGGACTGTGGTGTGGCCGACCCCCCTGGGGGGGTGATTTCTGTCTCTCTCTGTCTGGTGAGCACACGTGCCCTATAGCAAAAACCTCTTCAAAAACAAACAAACAAACAAACAAAAGAATGAAATCTATAAAAGTCTTAACATAAAAAGTACTCTTCAAAAATCAATAATTAACTTAAAAGGTGAAAAAGGGGGGTATGTATTATATGATTCCAACTACATGAAATTCTTAAAAGATAAAATATAAAGAGTCAAAATATCAGTGTTTGTCAGTGATTTAAAAGGGGGAATGGGGGCCAGCAGTTGGAGTAATGGCTATGTCACTGGACTCCCATGTGGTTGACCGTGGTTCGAGTCTTGGATCCAGTGGCTTAAACTAACATTGGGTGTGTGTGCATGCGTGCCCAAGGTCCTGAGAGAAGAATGGAGGAGAAGGGATTGTGGCGTGGCCATTCTCCCAGGAGTGATTTCTTGCTGTCTATCTCTCTCTGTCTTTCTGGCGAGCACACACGCCATATACCAAAAACCTCTCAAAAAAAAAAAAAAAAGGGGGGGGGGGAGGGGATGAACAGGCAGAGCACAGAAGATTTTTAGGCCAATAAACACAACTGAAAGATAGTATAATTTACGTCGACATGTGTTGGTATGTATTGGGTTGTCAGAAAAGTCTTAATGTATTTATTTTCCATGTTTTTCTATGCAAAAACGCACCATGACTTTTCCAACAAACCAATAACAGATGAATACAAAAATGTAAAGCACAAGACTAGTGTCCTAATTTTTGATAATACATTAAAAACTCTCACTTTCTTTAGAGAATTTTTTAAAATTTCAAGTTCTTTTATACATTCAATCACATTATTTAGCTTATAAAGTGAATATTACAACATATGTCCATTTCTCCCCAGTCCAATTGATAATACTATAAAGTTATCTTCAACAGATAATACCACATTTCATTGTCTCATTAATGCTATGCCTCTCTATTTTTCTCAATGTTCTTCCTCAGACTCTCCTACTTCACCCACCCTCTTCCCACCCTATATCTGGTATTCACAACCATTTACAATGTTTCTATATTTTAGTCATTTAGTTGCAGTCATAGAGTGGGGACACTAGGTATACATTAAGTGGAGACACACAATGTTTCTCCTTCATAGCCTGGCTTCCTTCACTTAGCAGTAAATCTTCCATATTCCTCCAGTATCTGTCAAAAGCCAGGGTCTTGTTGCTTTTTATGGCTGAGTAGTATTCCATAAAACTCATTCTGGGTTCATGTGCTGTGCCCAAAATCTTGAGAGGATAATAGAGGACAAGGGATTGTGGTGTGGTCATCCCCCTGAAGGATGATTTCCAGCTTTCTGTTTGTCTCTCTGTCTATCCCTCTTGAGAGTGCATGTGCCCTATAGCAAAAAAACTCTTAAAAAAAAAAAATTTAAATGACAGGCAAGCCAGCAGGTGGTGTGGTAGAAAGGGCACTGGATTCCCATATAGCTGACAGCAGTTTGAGTCCCAGACCTGGAAGCTTGAGGCCTGTATGTGCATGTCCAGAATCCAAGGAGGAAACTAGAGAAGGGACTGTGGCATGGC